AAGAAAAAAAAAAACCCTCCCCCCCCAAAAAAAACCCAAACAAACCGGGGGTTGTTTCTTGCTTGAAGCATAACAATTTTCCACCATTGTGTCGACTGTCGACACATTTTCACGTAACCTACAAATGTCAGCACCAAAATCAGGACACGGGGAAACACGCACACCAAAAAAGTAAGACACAAAAAAACAAACACACACAAACACATAAAAGTAAGACAATAGAAAAGTAAGACAATAGAAAAGTAAGACAAAAAAAAAGTAATAAAAAAGTAAGACAATAGAAAAGTAAGACAATAGAAAAGTAAGACAATAGAAAAGTAAGACAAAAAAAAAGTAATAAAAAAGTAAGACAATAGAAAAGTAAGACAATAGAAAAGTAAGACAATAGAAAAGTAAGACAATAAAAAAGTAATAAAAAAGTAAGACAATAGAAAAGTAAGACAATAGAAAAGTAAGACACACGCAAAAAAAACCCCAAAGGCACACACATAAAAAAGTAAGAAGACACACATGCAAAAAGTACGACACAAAACCACCACCACCACCCCTCACCCTCCCCGTCCGGCAACTCACGTTCTGCAGCTTGAAGGTGTCGTAGATTTGCACCAGCTCCTCCGTGGTGTACTGGTTCAGCACTACAAAGTTGTCCAGAGACGGGCTGGCCTTCCTGGCACAGTCCTGGCAGTGCACCAGGAACTGGCCGTCGCTCTCCGTCACAAACAGGATGTTGAACACCTCCACCTGCCGCATGGCAAAAAATTTTATTAAAAAAAAATTCTCCAAATTTTTTTTAAATGGAAGCCATTTAAAAAAAAAAAAAGGATAGTGGCACATTTATATGACCTTATTGCGCTGCAAGTGCCGTAAAACTCGGACTAAAACTTTGAGTTAAGAGGAGTATACTGCTCCAACCGCAGTCACTAAGTGCGAGGGGGGGTGGGTGGGTGTGAGTGTGTGTGAGTGTGTGTGTGTGTGGGTGAGTGTGTGTTAGTTTTAGTATGTGTTTTAGTAGTTTTACGGTACTTTTGCAATATGAATTGGACATATTATTATAAGTGATGAAGATTAGAGGGGTGTTACTAGAGAGTGACATACAAAGAAAAAGAAGGAAAAAAGATAAGGGGCGATAGACGTTCGATGGGAGAGATAGACTAGGATAGACATTAAAAAAACAAAACACAACAAAAAACTGCACTGAAGACGCAATTTTCCCTACAGAAACAAACACGATAGCAGCAAAACAAAAAAAACAAACAAAAAATTTAATAAGGGGGAGGGGGAGAAGAAATGAACCTCTATAAATACCAAGCTTGCCGACATTTTGTAACTCCAGTGAGGGGCACACAGACGTACATCTGATAAGACAAGATAAGATAAGACAGGATAAGATAGGATAAGATACGATACAAAGAAATAAGATATAAGATAAGATTTAATTGTCCGAAAGGAAGCAGTGTAAACAACTGCTGGCACAACACCCAACACCAGGACTCGAACCCCGGCCCCTCACCTCACACTCTTCACAGTAATGAGCCGGCTCTTCTGTCGTCCGCCCGTGCCATTTGACCTCTTTCTTCAGCTCTTCCACCAAGTCCAAAGTCATCTGTACCTGGCGCAGCGACCGCATTAAGGTCGTCCTGAAAGACAAAGGCGGGGAAACGTGAGTTTAGTTAGTTCGCTAGTTTGAGTATGGAGGAGCACAGCGATATGATAACCGTCATTTAGTTTAGTGCAAGACAGACAGACAGACAGACAGACAGACAGACAGACAGACAGACAGACAGACAGACAGACAGACAGAAAAAAGATACAGCAGAGGTAAATAAAAAAAGAAGTAGGACCTTCCAGTGGTGATCCTCTACCACCCACAGATGAAAAACTATTTAAAACACGTGAGAACAGAACATAAATAGGAAATACATTTTCTATTTCACAACTTAGCAGAAGAGGGAGGGGCATAAAAATGGGGTTGCGAAAAAAAGAGAATGAGTAACAAAAAATAAAAAAATAAAAAGACGAGGCGGGGGGAAGAGGAGGAGGGGGTGCGGCCGGCTCTGAGTGACTCACTTGATGGCCTCGTGGATTTTGATGTCGGTGACTCCGAGGTTCTGCGCCAGGTTCCAGGAGAGGCTGATCATGGGCACAATGGACTTGTAGCTCTGCAGCTTGTTGTACTCGTAGCGCTCCACGCCCAGCGTGTACTGGCGGTACGTGATCGGGCCCACGTTCCACGCGATGTTGTTGCACCAGCCCTGGGGGGAGGGGAGCGGAGGGAGGGATAGCGGAAACATGTACAATTTACTATCATTAATTCAACAAAGACAACAATTAAAAAAATAAAACAATTCTAAGGAATAAAAAAAACACAAAAAAACTAATAGAGGATGAAAGAAAAAGAGGGAAAGAATAAATGCAGGATAAAATGAAAGATAGAAAGAACGAATGGTGTAAAAAGAAAAAAATAAGAACCAAAAATAACAAAAAAACAAATGAAGGACAAAATGAAAGCAGGAGCAATTCGAAAAAATGAAAGAATGAAAAATAGAATAAATAAAGTACAAAATGAATGCAGGACGGAATGAATGGGAAAAAAAAAAGAATGGAGCGTTTAAAAAACTAAATTTTTTTAACGAAGGCAACCCCCCCCAAAAAAAACAACAACAACCCCCAAACAAAAACAAAGAAGAAACAGAAGCCCCCAACGACCACCACCACCAGCACACTCACAATGGCCTGCACCCAGTGGACGGTGCCCGGCCCGATCCACACCAGGTCGCCAGGTTTTTGGATGAAACGGTAGACGGGGACGTCCTCCTCGTAAAGATCTTCCAGGATGGGCCACCACGAGCCGTGCAGGTAGTTCACGCTGTTCCTGGAAAAGATTAAAAGTACGCTCGTCAATTTCTACGCTTCGTCAACGTGCTTGTCAGTTTCTACGTCTAGATCCACTCAAAGAAAATCCTATTTAGACGGGGACATAATTTAGATCCTACAAGGAAGGCGACGCACTCTTCCAATCTTCCTCCCCACCTCCTCTCATTCTCCCTTTCACTCTCACACACAACGCGCCCCCACCCCTCCATTCCTTCCCTTCTCACTCATGCCCCTCCCCCCACTCTCTCTCTCATGTCCTTCTCTCTCTCTCTCTCCCTCTCAGCATACCACAACCTACCTCTCACACATGTCCTGTATAACTCCCCAGTACTGCTCTCTCTCTCTCTCTCTCCCCCACAACCTACCTCTCACACATATCCTGTATGACTCCCCAGTACTGCTCTCTCTCTCTCCCTCTCTCTCTCTCTCCCTCTCTCTCCCCCACAACCTACCTCTCACACATGTCCTGTATGACGCCCCAGTACTGCTCGGGCACAGAGAACCACTCACAGTCTCTCTTTCTCTCTCCCTCTCCCCCC